AAAAAAAAAAAAAAGTATAATGGATGTGTTCAGAGAGCATTTATGTTAGCCTTCATCTCTTAATATGTTCTTCAAAAGAGTGTTTGAAATAGCTTGTTGTAAACCTTTTTTCCTTTCATTTTTTTAAAAGTGCTCTGCATTATTAATTTAGAGAGCATATATTCTGTTCTCTTGATAAAATACGTGCAGGGATTAAGAAAAACAACATTTTTATACTGTGTTCCACCAGATTTGTCATCTTATTGTGAGAACTGTTACTTTTACTAAACCTTGCATTAAAACATTAGTTTAGTGAGTCATATTGCTTATCTCAGTCTTAATGTGTAAGGCTTGTCTTAATTGCAAACTTGGGGCCATCTGGAAGAGAGTGTAAATTATGAACGTCATTCAGTTGCACACTATTTCTGAGAGATAAAATGGACTTTATGCAGTTGTCTTGGAACACAAAGACAGTGCTTAAATGTTTCCAGACCTCGTGTAAGGGTTTGCTGCAAGACCTCTGCTCAAGGATTTGCAATTCTGTGATGATGTTTATCTTTCTTCCCTAGTGTGTACACTGAGTCAGGCTGAAATTTCTTCTCTGGAAATCATTAGTAATTTTCTAATGAATTTTGTAATTATACAGTTTTGCTTTACTTTGGATCAGGATAAACGCCTCTCCTTATGCATGATGTTTAAATACTAAATAGACCTTGTTAATGATAGCTGACACAAAGAACTTTCAAGGCCTTGGCTAAGGCATTCTTTTTTTTCTTTTTATTCTAAAAGATAGAATTCACTTGCAAATTACTCTCTATTTTAATGTATAGTGAATTAAAACACCAAGTAGAATGCCAGTTCTAGCATTAAAAAATGAGGGGAAAAAAAACAACCTCTACATCCAGAGGCTCTTCTGTGCTGACTCAGCTTATCCAGAAAGAAAACAACTTACACAAAAAACCACTGCCTTTAAGATTTCTTTCTTGTCAGTTCAAACCATGGAGAAAGTGCAGAATGAGCTTTCTATAACGTTGTCTCTGATCAGTTTCCACTGTGATGGATTCCTTTGCAAAAAGCAGCCAGAGCTACTCCAACTGATGAAAAGTGAGTTAGCAAACAACTATTCATCGCATTCCCTCTTTGAAGGTCAGTTATGACAGTTGTTTAGATCAGAAATGGAGTTAATCCTTCCTGGGTACAGGAGTGCCCATGTTAACATCTTTTGAAAAAAATAGGAAACTGCATATTTGTGGATTTTAATGAAGTAAACAGCTGATTTTTTACTATAATGCACATTACTTGTCTTTATTAAAAAAAAAAAATATATTATTATAGTTGTCATGATTGTAATGACTTCAGGCATTGTTGTGTTGCTAGACGACTTCCCAAAAATGAGATTTACTATTACATACTTCATTGGTTTTCAGACTTACTTTTCATGGCTTAGCTAACACAGAAGTGCATGAGCGCCTCTGGTTTTGTGTGTGTGAGGTGGTCACTTTTTTTTTTTTTTGTGAGAGTAAAGGAAGGAAAAAAAAATACCAATTGTTTTTACTATGTTGAAGAAAAGCTAAGGAAAAGCCTAAAATGCTGCAAGACTAAAATGGTACTGCAGAGGCTGAAAAACAAAATCTCAGATTTACTGTCACTGGATTGAAGATTCTTCTGATAGTTAAGCTATGCAGGTATCACATACTTGCAGGACTGTGCTTCACTGTAGTAATAGATTTAATTTAAATTAATTTGCTTTAAAAAAGCCACAAAGCTTCACAGCAGTTCTGATGGTGCAAAGATGTATTTTTTTAATAAATGCTCATTTTTCCTGTATGTCCTCTGTGGTATCCTACATATTACATCAGAACCACTACAGTTTGATGGAACCACGGAACTCAATTTAGAAAGAAAACATCAGATTGCTCTTAGCAGTGAGTTTTTAATAACATTAATGATATTAGCAAAGTGTTATCTGGGTAATTTGGGGTAGCTGAGCTCAGCTCACAGGACTTGGGGGATTGCTACAGGAGAAGTTAGAGAACGTTGTATGCATGTCCTTTATGATGGAAGCTGCAGTTTGTGACAGGATCCTAAGACTCTTCTGTTTGTTGAGCCTGTAATACATTCAAATCATCAGTGTTAATAGGGGATGAGGTGGAATGTTTAAGCAAATGAGGATTTATTGTTTTTTATTGTTTTCTTACTGAGTCCAGGTCTGATTTTTTGCTCACCACTTTAGCTCTAAAATGATACAAGTAAAAGGACCAGGGTCAGAATCTAATTTATCAGCTATCTGGGCAGCTTTGTGAATGTGGCATCTGCCTTCTCTGAGCGTGCTTTAGACTCACAGCCAAAGGAAGAAAACTGGTTAGGGTGGAAAATTATCCATCAGAAATACTCTGATCTTTGGGTAGACTCATTCCTAGTGTACTGGCAATTCTGAGGTTGTAAAATGTAAAATCAGAAATTCTTACTCCTCATGCCTGGTAATTTAAGTCAAATTCATCGCCAAGAAGGTTGGCTGTTTGCTTCAGTAATGTAATTCCTGGTGTTCCTCTGCATGAGTATTTTATTACATTTCATCAGGTAATTCCTTTGTGTATATGTAACAATGAGAATTTATGTAACATGAGAATTTAAGTGCCAGCATCCCACATAGTGGCTTTTTTTACTTAATGTAAGATAGGATGACTTCTTGTGTCGATCGGTCACTCTGAAATTTCCCTGCCTCACAAAACCATCTGCATGGTAAAGGCATCCCCAGCTCTCCTCAGCCTGAACATCTTTTGCTGCAAACCACAGTGGAAAAACAGCTTTGAAGTATTCCCGGTAGCACTCTTGGAATTCCTTCAGGTATATTGAGATTTTGTTAGAAATTGAATTGCCAGTGTAATCCATCTTCCTTGTGAGAAGAGATTCAGATAAAGAGCGGGAGCCCAGCAGCATTAAGTATGAGAGCATCCCTTTAAATCAATAAGCTACAAATCTGGCAGCGCATTCATGCAATGCCCAGCGCAGCGCTGAAGTGGCTTTAGTGCTGAAACAGCACTACTAATAGCACATCCCAGCGTGGGCAAGCAGTTTGGTGATGCAGTAACCCGGGTTAGACTAGGCCTTAACCAGTTAAATTTGACAAGAACACCTGTCCTTACTGACATAGATAACAAAACCAGGTTTTCTATCTTTTTTCAGATAACTTTCCAAATGTGGTTATAGAAGGCATCCTACATGGAATATTTTATCCTCATTTACTGCCAAGGTAGAAGAGATTCACAGCTAGAAGAAGCTGAAGCAAGTCTCCAAGTAATGTTTAATCAGATTAGTAAGAAGGAAATGGTGATGTGATTTTTGTGCTCAAAATCATGAGGCACAACCTCTGCTTAACTTCAAGTGTTACTTTTTATTTTAATCAGTGTCACTACTGTTGCTGCTTTTAAAAAGATTTGGAAACAAGCATACAGAAGGTAGTTGTACCTTGTTGATAGACTCTTTGTAACTATTTAACACTACAAGCTGAACATCATACACTGAGTTACATTATCCTTTGAAAAGAATTAAAAGATGTACTATTTTCTACCGTTTCTATCCTAAATTACACTAAACCTTTTTGCACCAGGCTTTTTCTCAGCACACAGGCCCATTGCTGGCAGTGGATGGATTGAAAGTGCTGGCACTGAAGTGAATGCATGAGAAACTGAGGAATTTGCTGAGCATTTTTCTTAAGTTATTTTCAATTTGCTTCTTAATTATTGGTTGGAAAAGAGCCAACGCAGGTATGTGCAGTTGCCATGAGAAATCATGCTTTTATGTTCTGAAATACGTAGCTCTCTTTTAGAAAATAGTCCAGATTTCAGTCACAGTGATGCTGTCTACCAGGGGATCTTACATGGCATTTATGCACCTCACTCAGTTATGACACATAACCTGTGTGTATTCTTACTCTTTATTTTGCAGACTGTATTCTGTATCTTAGCATTTTATAAGTCACAGAGCATATGAACTTTAGCTTACTAAAGTTTGATTAAGTAGTAACATGTCAAAACTCATATATATACTTGTGTGTATATATATTCAGATTTAACTGGAAATTGTGTGCTACTGGAGATTACAAAATAAATTACTAGAACGTTGATGTACTGCTTCAGTGTATTTTGTTGTGCCTTTTTGTTCAAATAAAACATTTCTCAGAGGTTATCAAAGAGGTCATCACATCTTCACGTGATGCACAAGAACATGTTAGTTGCCTGTCTCTTTAAAACTCACAGTACCACACTTGCTATCTGAATGTATTACACTCATAGAATAGGGAAACTGAACTTGGACAAAGGCACAGAATCAGTAACTGCAAAGCTAGGCACTACCAAAACTGATCAGGAGGCACACGTATTGCCTGACTACAAAATCTGCCTTAAAGCTGCTTGGAAATAGTGAAAAGTTTGGATTTGCTTAAAAAAATCAACTTGCCCATGTGAGAGTCCTTGCTTTCCTGCCTGGGGGATCCACCTCCAGGAAAGCTTTCAGGTAGTAGTGAAAGCAATTTAGGTAACACAGTATGAGAAACTGTTGCTTTTCCTTCCAGTCTTCATTTCCTAGACTCTTTGCAGATTCTTACCTGCAAAGGCTAGGGAAAAAAAAAAAAAAAGAAAGAAAAAAAAAAGCACAAACTGATATGTAAAATGGTCGTCTGATTGCCTAATAGTAGGCAAATTTAGACTCCACCTTCAAGCTTTCCTAAAATCAGAAAACCACCAAGGTTGGAAAAGACCTCTAGGACTGTCCAGTTTCTAACTGACAATCGTATTTAGTGAGACAACCTGCTACTTCCTGATTGCAGGACTGTCATCTGAATGCACTGCTTTTTTTGAAAGACAGTAGAACTTCAACTCACACATTAAGGAAACCTGCCACCCTGCTCAAATCTTGAAACCTCATCTGAAAAGCAGCACTCCCGCATGGTTTGCAGACTCAAATGAAGTGGGAAGAAAGCAAAAAGGGAGAGAAAAAGAAAAAACAAAACTCTTCATGAATTATCTGAAATCAAAGTTTTTTATTCAAAACATGTCTGTATTTTACCTTTTTTCCCCAGAGACACGTATTTAAAAGAAGCAGATACTTCTACAGAAAATAACATTTTCAGTTAAAAGGCAGTAACAAATATTGTGAAAATTTCCAAAGAATACAAAATGACTATTTCATGCCTTGAAAAAAGGAAGTACTTCTACACTCTTTCATGAGAGATTTTCAGTAAGCTCTAGGAATGTGCAGGCCTTGTCCTGAGTTCTAAGGCCTGACTGCTCCATCCAGCTGTTACACACAGCACTATCTTTATGTAGCTGGCAACTTAGGAGCATCACCTGCATATAGCTTAATGTGTTTTAAGGAGAAAACTCAATAGACGATTGAGATCAGTCAAAAAACTTAGACCTCGAAGGATTACACTGTACTTTGCACACTGAGCACTGTTCTCACCAGTCATCTACTTCCACTACGAATGGTTCCTTTACAGCTATTTTGCCACTGTTCACGATCACGCAGTCATGAAGAGGGCGGTCATGTTCATCCGTCTGCTGAAGCTCTATCAAGTGCACCACAGACTGTAAAAAATAAAGCACAGATCAGCTGGATAAAGAAAGCTCCAGCGGCTCAAGTCTGGCACACAGCAAGCAGTTAAGTGCTCCTGGTGACCGCTTCTACCTTTATTATATGTATTAGGCAAGAGATCGAAGTAGCTATTTCTAAAGGACAAAATTCAGTTGGAAATACTGAGCACTCATTTTTTGTTATCTGCCATTTCATCTAGACTAAAACTCAGTTTTAATCTCTCTTCAATTATTTTTTTTCAGCTGCTGAGCTCCTAAGAATTGAATTGGATACTCAGGATGGGATGTGAGAGGAAGTGCTCTGATGAGGTCTGCAAACTCCTCAAAGAACTGGTGCAGAAGGTCGTGTTTACCCACTCATTTCAAAATATAGATTAAATGGAGTAATGAGTTGCATGGAGTTAAAAGAAGTATAATCAATGGGAAATAACACTTCTGAACTTGCATACTGCTTGGCCCTTGCAGTGATGCACTTGATCAGTTTTGCTGCTGTGTACACGTGGAGGGTACTGACTATCATTTGTTTCCTTTTTAAACAGTTCTGAATATTTGCTTGTATACCTCACACTCATGTGACCTAACAACTAAAGAGTTACCTACAGCCTGCAGAAATATAATTATTTCATGGCTGGCAGCATTACTAGCAGGGGGACCTGAACTCTGCAGTCTGCAAAGTTGTCAATGTTGACTTCGTTGGCTAGTGATCTGAAGCAAGGGGCCATCATTTGGTATTTCAGTTCCAAATCTCCTAGCTTCAAGTTCTTCTCATCCATTTTCTACCAAATGCACTCCAGATGAACACTCAGTTGTTCAAGATGGCTCTAAGTTACACTAACCAGTATAATACAGGAGAATACTTCCCTGAATTATTCGCTTTCAGCTTACCATTCCATCAAGGACTTTGCCAAATACTACATGTTTTCCATCTAACCAGGAAGGTTTTGTCACACTGATAAAGAACTGGGAGCCATTGCTGTCTGGGCCAGAATTAGCCATGCTAACCCATCCAATTCCATAATGTTTGAGCTTGAAGTTCTCGTCTGGAAACCTTTCTCCATAAATGCTTCTTCCTGTGACATAAAAAAAGTTTGTTTTTTTCTTAAAAAAGCAAACAACCCACAACCTTGTTAAAAAATGAAACGAGTACAAAGACGAGACTTAAAAGATTCATCATTTGAGTAAGCCTAACAACATCACTGTTGTGATCATTTGAGTAAGCCTAACAACATCACTGTTGTGATTCAGTAACTGAAAAGATTTTGCATGCAGAGAAAAGAATAAGGTGAACTAAAACACCAGATACATGGAAAGAATATTTAAAGCTAGTGATGCTTTAGCCTCTGAATTTAACAAGCAAACTCAGTATCTTCAAAGATCCTACTAAAATACATCGCTGAGCAGCAGTGATACTTCATCCCAGCAAATTCAAATGGCATCTTTATGGCCACTAAAAATAAGGTAGTCATGTTTTGTGGCAACTTTGGTACTCCTGTAACACTTTCTGCATAGTATATTTTTGTATTTTGCTTTAAACATGTTTATGAAGACTAGGGAAGCTAGTGTCACAGACTCCATGTGTATCTATAGAAACATTATGTAACAATTTTGGTGCTTGAAAAGAGAAAGAATAGTCATGGTTAAATACTGTAACTTTGAAAAGAGAATGCTGCTGTGCTCCCTGTTTGCACAGTGCCTGTAGGGATGCTGCCCCAACACACTATCCCAACAAACAGTAGTAGCAGGCAAACAAACCTTGCCTACCTTTAGTGCTAAAACTGTGTCTGTGGTATTTTAGCCTTCCCCACTGTTTGCTGCAAGGAAAAGGAATGTGTTTTCCATTCTGTCCCAGCGGGGAAGTCACTAACACTGCACGCGGACAGTTCAAATCGTAGCACCTGATGAACACGCGTGTAAAGGAAGAGAAGAAATCAGGCCAGAATGCATGCAATGCAAGAGATGCTGCACTAGACTGCTCTCCTGAACTAGCTGATGTGGTCTTCTGGAGGTTCAGGAGGCAGTTATAGATTTAGTGGAAGAAAAAAGAGAGTGCAAGACACTCATTTCAATTTCTCTGTCCCTGCTTTGGATTTCTCTCCTGCAGCACTTTTTGGAATGCTCCACAGAAATGGCTGAGCTGAGGACAAGGGAGGTGAGACTGCTCTTTCCCTACCTGCTTCCCCCTGAGTGCTTTCCTTGCTTTGTTGCAGATTAGTTTGCTGCTGGGTGACTGAAATTGGTCCACGTATACTTGCAATCAGGAAAGCAGTGCTGTTGCAAAGCAGAGCAGGGGAATGGTGGAAATGGCTGTAGGAGCTGCTCAGCTGCTCAAAGGGCTTGCCATGCCCACTGCAAAGCCAGGCTCCTGACTGGGGAAAAGTCACAGACAGAAAGCGCTATCTGCAGAAGCTGAGGACAAGGAAGGTATACGCACACTTTTATTTGGTAACCTGCATTTGTGCATCTTATCTTCCAAGATGCCTGGAAAAGAACTAGCTGTTTCTAAAATAAATGTTTTTTTTCTTGTTTATGGGAGTTGAAAGAAAAAAGGAAAATACTTTTTCATCCATCTTTTCAGTAAACCCTCAAAGAAAGGAAAGAAGCCATAAGAAAGGTATGTTACCTCCTGATCCATCTCCAGCTGTAAAATCCCCTCCTTGAATCATGAAGTCTTTGATCACACGATGAAATTTACTTCCTTTGTATCCATATCCTCTCTAAGTAAATGAAATAATGAATGTAACACACAGTTCTGTATGATCATATGGCAATGTGCACGTGGTAAGTGGTCAGCTTTCAGAGAACATACCACCACCTGAGCCAAATGCTGGCAAGAAACAGCAGTGAGATGCAGGTGACTGCATAGAGGGTACAAGTCCGTCTGACCAGTGCTGACCACAGTGCCCCTTCATGGCACATCTGCTGGGCAGGGACATGCCATGGTGCTGACAGCCAGCCCCAGTGACATTTTGTGATGCAAGGACTTCTGTGTCTCACACAGCAGAGCACGGACTCGGGAACGGCACTCTTGCACTGACTGCACTGAGGTGAGGTGGACATTTCACAGCCAAAACGGCATTTAAATACTCATTCCCCACTCCAAACTTTAGCACACAAAGGAAGAAAACTGCAAACCTACTTCTCCAGTTGCCAGCACAATGAAGTTCTCCACCGTTTTTGGGACAACCTTTCCAAATAACCCAATTGTAATTCTGCCAACATCTCTGTCTCCAATCTTCACGTCAAAGAACACCTAGATGTATTTGTTAAGAAAAGAGACACAAACATGAACAATGGTAAGAAATAGCCTCTGGGGCGCTCACGACTAATATTACAATCCTCAGGTGCTAGTTTCCTTCCAGTTTCCAAAACCAGATTATGCAGTGGGAAAAGGTGGGAAGAAAACCCTGCTGCTCCAGCAAGGTGTCCACTCCCCACATAGCAGCCCAGAACTGCCTGGAGGAAGAAGCAGGCTTCAGTAGGTAGTTGGTTGCCTGAAGTCTTCTACGTGCGTGTTGCTAAAAAGCATATGTGGAAAAGACAAAAGAGTTAGGAGGCATTTAACATAGTTCAGAATGTCTGTGTGTGCCTATGAACAGCAAAACTGTTCAAATGATTAAATAGGAGCAGCTGTCAGGAAATGAGGAGTTTTAAGTTCTGAAAAAGTTACATAAAAACTATTACAACTTCTAGGAAATAGCAATGTGTATTCCTGTGATGTGGTATTTGCTGTTCTGCACTTGACCAAATATTACTAGTCTGCAACTCTAAGAAATTAGTCCAATTATCATAATAAATGACCACAGTCTCTCCAATGTCAATGCCTCTTTCATGCTTTCCTACCAAACATTTCTACTGTTTCTTCTTCTTCCATGTGGTTTTGACTGTTGAACTCCTGGCTAATGTTACAAAAGCTTTATAAAGAAAATAACATTCCTTTTGATGCACCTCATCCATTTTCTTGGCACTTGGCACCAAATACTTGTACTAGTTAGATGAGTGGCTTCCAAAGCATTAACAACAAACTTTCCCTGATTTCCTGGCATTTTTATAAATGAATCTTTCTTCATTTTGCAGTCAGCTCTCTTTAGGTATGGGCTCACAGGAAAAAAAAAAAAACCTGTGCAGGTTTTCTAAACACATCTTATTTTCTATGGAAATCTTGTCCAGGCAGGGTGCTGGTGACACAGCCAAGGCTGCCAGCAATGCCTGCTGGCAGCAGCACTATCAAATGCGTACACAGAGCACGGGAGAGAAGGCAAAGCTCCTATCCCGAACTGAGGCCAGGCTTCACAAGCGGCAGAGCTGCACTCGAAAATGCCTGTGCTCCCAGAAACGTTAGGAAATGTGTCCTAACGCCCAACCCGGACCTCTCGGGCACAACGTCGGGTCCCCACCTCTCTTCAAGTCCTTCGAAAAGGGAACGAAACGTCGCTGAGCCGTCAGACGCTGCAGCTTCAGATTTGCAGGGATAGAAGCCGAAGTTAAAAATCGCCGTAACGGGGCAGGCGGAGCGGGCAGCGGGCGGCCCGGCTCAGCGCCCGCGGCACCGGGAGCGAACGCAACAGCAAAGCCCCGGCGGGCAGCCCGAGCCAGCTCAGAGCTCCACGCGTCACCACACCGTGCGACAGCTCACGGAAACGGTGACGCCGCTCCGCGCCGCAGCGAGGCGATGGCAGCACCGGCACGGGGCGATAGGGCGGGGGCCGGGACACCCCACGCCGCTCCTCGGGCTCTGCCGCGCGGTATCCCGCCGCAACGAGCGCGGCGCGGCCTCCGGGCACCGCTCCTCGCAGGCGAGGCGAGACGGGCGGAGCTCGCGGGCCGCCCCAGAGCAGACCGACAGACCGACCGCTTCCCGCCCGGCCCGGCCCGGAGTCACCTTGGCCGTCACGCTGGGTCCCCTCCTCCTCAGCCCGTCGGCCGCCGCGACCAGCAGGCAGAGCCAGGCGATGGCGCCGAGCGCCGTCCGCCCACGGGACATGGCGCGACCGAACGCTGCGGCGCCTGCGCCCGACGCCGGGCGGCTCCTCCCGCGCCATGTGGCGGGGGGGCGCTCAGCTCCACCGCGCGGCCGGCGCTGCCCCGCTGCGCTCCAGGGGAGGGGCGGCGGGAGGACGGCGGCCGCCCCGCTCCGGACGGGGCTGCTTCCTCGGGGAGGGCGGCTGCCGGTATCGGCGTCGCGGGGAGATGGGGCTGCGCCGCCTGTCCGTGAGAAACGTGCAGGTTGTACCGCGGTGAGACCCGTGCGCTCCCAAGTTCCAGGACCTGAAGGAAAAATAGTTGCTGCGCGCCGCTGTGCTGCAGGCAGGAGGCTGACAGCGGCGTGTGCCAGCACGTCCAGGGCCAGAGCTCGCGGCTGCGCGGCGCTCGGTGCAGCCTTGCAACCCGGGGCCGGCCTGCGTCTGCTCATGGCAGAGCTGCAGAGGTGCGGGACGAGGCGGTTGGTGCTGAGAAGCTGATCAGACAGCTGCTTGCTTTGCAGGTGTTCCGTCCTGCTAGCTAAATGTCAGGTGGTTGAGGCATGCCAGGCAGGTTCCTGGATCATGGAATCCTAGAATGGCCTGGGTTGAAAAGGACCACAATGATCATCTGGTTTCAACCCTCAGACTATGTTCAGGGTCACCAGCCACCAGGCCAGGCTGCCCAGAGCCACATCCAGCCTGGCCTGGATCATACCGTCTGTTTGGGAATTCAGCGTGTGCGTGCTAAGGCCTCTGCAGAATTCATCAGTGCAATCCACCCATATTACCTATTTAGACTTTGTCTGCTTTAAAGCCGTCTGTTTGCACAATGGAAAGATGCTGCACATCATGGCGTATTCAGAGGAGTGTGATGAGAATAGAAGAATGTGCGCCATAGCACATAGAGTGCATGTTAATAGCCTTCAGTGTTCTGAAGGCAGAATGTTTTGATTTTGGGGAATAGACCTACATGAGACATGGTATTTCTAATAGTCCGGATCAAGTGAGTCATACGGAGGGTACAGTCAGAAAGAGGAAAAGTATTAGCTGATGAGAATTTGTTTTCCTATATCTGTTCAGTCACAGTAGGCTGGTTCGGATGGCGAGGAGCAAGCAAGGGAAAGACAACCAAGAGGACATGGTCTGGCTAGCAGGCTCATCTAACAGCTGTGAGATAGAGGGGCTTACTCCATAGAGGTGTGCTAAATAAAGGCATCCAGAACACTGTGCAGAGTTCCATTTCACTCAATAAAAATGCTGGTCTTTGCATGGACAATGTTGCTGTTTTTTGGGGGTTTAAATATGTTTTCTTTGTATAATGCTGGTGTGTAGGGCAATAAGTATTTCATAGCATGGAAAAGACTTGCAAACAAGATGAGAGTGTGTCTGACTTACAGTATCTTATAAAGTTTATGCATGTTGGTGATGCTAAATAACTTTTGGAAAAAGATAAAACAGCATTTAAACAGGAAATATCCAAATGAGGCAGAAACTTAATGTGTTCAATAAAAACTCAATTTCACATGGATAACATTTTTCTGAGGCAAAATGCCATGCCTGTTTTTAGGAATCTGATGTGAATTGTGTGACTGAAGATAGTCAGAGTTCTGACAAACAGTATGGTTTGTAGGAATGGGAAAGAGAAAAAGATCTTTAGAATAAAACTAAGGAAGCCTCCTGTCAGAACCGTAGACTCATAGAATGGCTGCGTTGAAAAGGACCACAGTGATCATCTGGTTTCAACCCCCTGCTATGCGCAGGGCCACCAGAGGAGGTATGCGCTCAGAATTAGGATAAATTCCTGGGTGGGTGGCCAGACGATGGAAGAGGCTTCCCAGAAAAATGGTTGGTGCCCCATGGGTGCTCAGGAGCCCTTTGGGCACTGCCCTCCTCAGTATGCTCTGACTCTTACTGGCCTTGAAGTGGTTGGGCAGTTGGACTCAGTCTGTAGGTCCCCTCTGAGTGAACTGTGCTGATAATCCAGCTCAACTAGGGAATAACATGTAACATTTGTTACGATTTCTTTGTTTTTCTGCCTCAGCTGTTCGCAACCATTGTGAAGATGTGGTGTACTTTTTGCTCAAGCACCCAGTACAGTCTGCTGACAGCCATGCTGAACTCCTGGCGGATTTGCACAGGCACAGTTTCTGTGTACAAAAAAAGTACAAAACCAAGGGAAATCAACAACAGACTTCTTTTCCCTTCCATCCTCCCTAGCTTGGGAGGATTTTCTTCACCTCTCTGTTAGAGTTAACTGGAAGGCTACTGCCATTTCTTCCTTTGGTTGTCTTTTCTGTACACTAAGAACCCCAGTGCACATGGTTCAAATATTGGAGCAGGTGTTACCTGGCTGTGTAGCTGTTAATTGCAGTACTAACTTTATCCTTTAAAAATCTGAGAAGTTACAAATAAGTGCATTGCCTTTTTTTTTGTTTTTAATAAATAAATGGCACAAGGATACTGTGACCCCCAAAACTGGATCATCGATTGAAAGAATGTTTTAAAACTGTCTCATGTTTCTGACTTGGTTCTCATGGCCTTTTGCAGTGCAGTGCTAGCAGATGTGCGTTGTTTTGGTGCTTGTTGTCTTCTACAGTAATCAAGCCTTTAAGAGAATAAATGGCTACTGCCTGACAGCCTCCCATTTCAGTAATAGTATTTGTAATGAGGTGTTTCATTGCTTCTGAGAGAGTTTTTACAGTTTAAAATGGGTACAGAAGAGAGATATATTAAGCGTTTAGCATCTGACACTTTCTGATTTCTGGTGCTATGAGCATTGGCAGTAATTCCAGCACTTCCTTTCAGCTGTATGGCATTTTAGTGCGCTATGATTTATTGCAGTGATACAGAAATATTTCATCCAAACTGCTCTAGTATATCATGTTACACAGGTAAAAAGAATTCTGGGCATGACATACATAATAATAATGTTTTATGGGTCTGTAGGCACTTTCATCAACGTTAACTGCTTGACAGTTGCCAGAATGAAACTTGAAGTAAGTATTGTGTTCTGTAAGGCTGCTGCAGCTGAGCTTTTATCTTTATTTCCTCGCTTTGAAATGGGTTTGTGATTCTCAGACCTGAATGACTGGACGTGTGTCATCATTACCAGCCTCAGCCTCGGCCCGTATTGTTTCAGAAGCCCACTGCAGTACTTCTCTTGAGTTCTGATGTATCATGATCATGTATCAGCCATATATTTAAAGCCAAGCTTTAATCCCATAAAGACTTAAGAAATGACACCACTTCATCTTACGCATTGTCTGTGTTATAATAAAGTTAAAAGCTGTAAAGTATCAGGGCAGTGGTGATGGTGTATAGTTCTAAGAGACCACAGTTAAAAAAGACAGCAGTTTAAGGTCCACGAACTGTAACTCACTATATATGGCCTTCATGAATAATGAAGAAATAAGTTTATGGGGAGTTTTTTTTTGTTTTGTTTTTTGTTGGTTTTTTTTGTTTGTTTCTTTGTTTGTTTGTTTTTGGTTTTTTTTTGTCTTTTCCTTTATGTAACTTCAGAAAAATTGAGTGTATCATGTCTGCCGTCTCTTCTATTAAATCACTTGTAAAATGGCTTAAACTTCCCCTGTCATCCGGTGCACTTATGCAAAATAAATGTGTCCCATGCTCTAGATAAGTGTCTTCCGTTTGGTGAACAGTTTTTAAGCTTTTTAAATTTTGTATCCAAGCACAATTTGAAGTGTCATCCTTTCCACTCTAATGGTCAAAGCATTTATTTAGGTGATACTGGCAACGTGTTTTCAAAATATTACAGCTGGAGCCAGAACCGGTTTTGCTTTGAGCCCATTTGTTTGCAGGATAGCATGGCTATCTGTAATTGCACATCTCACTGGAGTGAGCATTTAACACATAGTCATTCATTTGAGTCTGTTCTACGTGCAGCCTGCAGTTGCTTAAAATTCCGTAGGGGAAAAAAAAGAAAAGAGAAGCTGTAGCAGTTATGTCTAGCTGTAAGGAGGTGTGCAGTCAGTTTTGTTTGTTTTCAAAGCAACAGAGTTAAAACTTCTTAATAGCATCTCAGAATTATGATGATATAATTTTTTATTGCTCCAATTATTACTTAGTGTAAACATTCTAGGGCTCCAAATACTTTTGCACATCATTTGACTTTGGCTGTGGTCTCACCTCCGTGGAAGTACTTACACCTGAACATCAGTACAGGAGTGTTAGAAGGAGGTTGGGCCTTTGTCAATGAGCTCCAGTAGTCACAGAAGGGACCCATGAGATCGTGGAGTCCAAGTCCTGGATCCACACAGGAGCCACTCGTAAATCAGACCCTATGTCTGTGAACGCTGTGATTATTGCTAGTCCAATAGTGCCCAAAGGTGAAATTCAGGGGATGCAGTTTGCAGCTCTGGGCTTGTAAGAGAAAAGAGGAAAGGATTCCTTCTTTAAAATCTGAATGAGAAGTTCAGAAAGTTGTAAAACGAAGTCCTGTCTGATGACTGCAGCGAAGAATTGATCCAAATTTGCCATTTGCTTTACGAGGCTTTTAGTTATTGTTAAATAATACCGAGTAATCTGTTTTGGTTTTTTTTTTCATCATAGGCGAATGGGTTCATTCACCGAGGAATGAGGCAGGATGTGGGTTCATTAATTGATTAGGAGGTAAAAAGCTCAGAGGTAATAAAATAGGACTCAGCCTTGAGAGAGCACAGAAATAGGGTTGGAGACCACCTTCCTAACACTGCAGAGGACTGCAGTAGTGAAGAGGAAAAATGGGTCTTGCATCTGCTTAGGATGGGAGTGACAACAGCTTGTGTAATAACTTCTCCTGTGTAAGTAACAAAGAAAACAATCAGATGTTTAGAGAAATTTCATATGAAAAAAATGATAATGTTTAGAAAAGACTTTCTCAGAACCAGGGGTAAGGCTGTTCAGAGATGGTTTTACAAGGACGAAAAATGTTGTTTGTTTCAAGATGAGTGAAATGTGGGGATAAATGATAGTTTTCAACTGATCTGGGAGCCTGCTGTGCTGACAGAATGCTCGCTTCATTAGTACAGAAAATATGGCTTAGAAGATACAGGAAGAGCAGATACATAGAGAAACCTAGATGATACAGAAAGAGCAGATATTTCAGGCTCTGGAGTTCAGTGTTGTTACTACAACACTAACAGTAGTATCTAACCAAGGACCCCATCTACCTAGTTTTCCATCTGGGACTCTCCTCAGTAAGATGCAATGTTATCATAAGGATGAATCCATTTGTCCTCTGACAGGGTGTGCTAAGAAAGCTGTCTCCAGCTGTCTGCACAGATTTGGGGCCACTTCCTCATCTGTGTCCTCCCTTTCAATTTTGAAAGAGATTTCATATTTATGCATATTAGCCCTGTGTTTGCATGGGCACTGTACTGGTGTTGGTTTGCAGGGGTGTTGTGGTTGGGCACTGAAGCTCTTCTGCTTTTCTTATCCATTATCTATTTCAAGTTGATTGTCCTAT